TTGATATCCATATTTGAGTAATTCATTACATTGAATTTAACTTTGTAGAAAGGTGACAACTCCCTGGTAAATATTTTCAAACCACAGTCTCTTTCGTCTGACACTCATATCGGGATACACATTTCAATTTTCTAATCGCCTTCATTTAAATTTCAACTTAATTTTATAAACGGTTGGCAACGCTCCTTCAAGCAGTTTAGAAATGCAGTTCTTTCAAGGCCATTTTCATTGATATCCATATCGTAGTAATTCGTTTAACCTATTGCATATATTGAATTTAACTTTGTAAGCAAATGGCAACCCTTTTAAAAAAAATTCAAACAAAAACCTTTTTAATCCTTTTTTATCGGACACCCGTATTGCGATACCTAGTTTATCTAATTCACTTAATTAAAGTTGAATTAAGTTTTCAAACCAAGTGGCAACTCTCCAACATGTAATTAAAAATGCAGTTTTTTTTAAAGCTTTTGATTGATGTTCATATCGTAGTAACTCATTTTACCTATTTTATACATTGAATTTATCTTCGTAAATAGGTGGCAACCCTCCTACATATAATGAAGAAAAAAGCCTTTTCAAAACCATTTCGATCGACACCCCTTATTGTAATAATTGATAACTTATAAATAACTGGTATTAAATTATTTATCAGGTGGCAACCCGAAAAACAAAACGTTGTTGCACATCTATGGGCCAAGCCTTTTAATTTGATACCTCATTTTTAAAAATCGAACTAAGTAACGGTACAGATCTGATCGTATGACAATGTACTTATGTACATACAATACTAAAAGAGAAATAGATCAGATTTGTATGGGGAAAAAATTCTCATCCTAGAAAACGGGGCACCTCTTAGTTTTTTCCTTTAGATATTTTTAATGCCTACAAATACCAACTTTCAGTTTTCTACAGCAACCGATACAGGGTGCTCAATGAACTTGAACTGCGCTACTAGATCGCTGTGAAACTGGCAAAAATATTGGTGATTTTTATAAAAGGCTACTGCTGACATGACAACTGAAGCTTGTGCGATTTTTTTAGATAATATAAATTTGAAATGTTCTTAGGTTATTTAACCAATTGTTTCATTAATATATGTAAACAATATTTCTAGAGTAAAATATGAGCATCATGAGCACCCTCTAAATATATACATAGAAAAGTAAGGTTTAGTGTTGGGAAGTATCGAGTAATTTTGAGGATCGAGTTCTTTGGTACTTTCTTTAAATATGCACTTGTAGGTAACATTTCAATGATTAGTGTAGAAATCTCACAAGCTGGCAGCACTTTATTCAATTTAATAATATTAATCCCAAATTACGTCAAATAAATGGCAACTTGAAAACTATTGAAACTTCAAATTGAGTACAATCATTTCTAAATACCGGTAAATGTAAATAAAACTCAGTACTTTTAAGTATCTGTTCAGTACTTTTAAGTATCCTGATTACATGTATCTAAGTGATGATTGGAACAGAGAATTTTTGAGTACTGAGTACTTTCGAGTTCTTTTAACTTTTGAGTACTTTTGAGTTCTTTTAGGTTCTGAGTACTTTCGAGTTCTTTTGTGAGTACTGAGTACTTTGGAGTACTCAGTATCGATACTCTTAAACATCGAGTGCTGTCGATCCTTTTGAGAATCGAGTTCTGAGTACTTTTGGTATCGATACTGCCCAACACTAGTAAGGTTTGGTACCACCACCTCTTTCGGCAAGAGGAAAAATTTAGGAAGGTGCCCCAAATCCAATCTTGGAAATTATTTTTTTGGATCACTCTTAGCAACATATGTACGTATGTATGTACATATGTACATGTGTATGCTGCGATAAGGTTATAACTATTTCCCCGGAGCTGCGGCATCTTTCACCCAAAACCCGAAATGCACACACATACTTTTTGTCTCCTTCTCTCATTTCCAGCGCAAGCACGTGTTAACAAAATGATAACGAAGTGATTTTGTATTACAAATCATTTATACCCATATATTTGAATCAAATAGTCATACTTATAATATATCAACCAATACTTCTCATATACCAAACGAAAGGAAAAAACTTGAATTTTTGAGTAAAGATTTGGTAATCAAAAACGTTTGCTAATTTTTTCAAAAATATTTGTTGAATACATATAAATAAATACATATAAAATTTGTACACGATAATATTACTGTTGCTCCAAGTAAATTATATCCCGAAAATAAAAGTTGAATAACTCAGTGAGAGGGGAGACCAGTATGTTTGCATGTATGTATTTATATAAAAAAAAAATTCTTATTGGTTCAAAAATGGTGGGTAGACACTGTGGCCAGTGGTAAAGTTCGTTTACCACCTCTGCGTGGTTGTAAGCCATGCAGAGTCCGCAATATGCTCCGGAAGCAGTGTCCGGAGGATGCATCAGACTCTGTGTGTGTATGCATATGAACATTAGGGTGGTTCACCCTTTCAAAGTTTGGTTTAGGCTTCATTAGCTCTCGTGCAATAAGCGTTTCTGTAAAGCTCTAAAAATAACAACTATAAATTTGCCTACACTCGCAAGTCGTAGAGAAATGCTGGGTATAATATTTATCGTAAAATTAATGACAGGCTTGATTAATAGCCCGGCCCTCCTGGCTGAGGTAAATTTTAATGTTCCTTCTCGAATGTCAAGACACTTTCGACCTCTATTTCTAAAGCCATGCAAAACTAATTTTGAACTAAACGAATCATTCCGTGGTTTATG